TCCCGCAGTATGGCCAGAATTTGGTTGTGCCGCAGACTGCCACTAAAATCCCGCACAACACAGCCCGGCCCCACACCGGAAAATGATAACTTATCCCTCGCTCCACCCAAAATGGGTAACCTCCCATAGATAGCCCATATATGTGGGTCTATGCTCCCAAAATCCTGGCTCAAGCGCACCAGTATTGACCCCTCCACCGTCCAATACCTCATCAAGTCCGAAAATCCCTCTGGTTTACCTTCCTTGGTGTATAGCACAATGGAAAAATTTCCTAGGTTCAATATGTTTGCATAGAATTATAGCCCTCGTGATTCTGATCATACTGGCCGCCGACATCGCTTCTTTTGACCACGCCAAGCCCTTGCCACAGGCTCAGCAAGTCAAAATCACCTTTTTTGGCCGTTGGAGTTGAAAGCACCGGATCATTCCGGTGAAGTCAAGCAGTTCGACACACCAGAATTACTTTCTCGCTCGGCTTTTTCGGCCACTGCTCACACTTTCCATTGCTTTCGCAGTTGGCCACCTACCGGCCCCTCACACATCAACTGCGCCACCGCACTGCGGCCTCTATGTTTGCCGCTCTGTTCTGAGGGTCAAAACGGATGGCTGTGTCAAGATATATCCACCAGTCGGTGTGGCGCAGACACAACCATCCGTTTTGACCCTCAGAACGGAGCGGCAAACATATAGGCCAAACTTGAGGAGAACCTCAAGACGCTTTCTGCAAAACTCGACGCGTACGAGCTCATTCTCGGGAAGCAAAAGTACCTTGCTGGCGACGTGCGTACATTCGCTGTCTCAGACCAGCCCGTAGTTTATAATCCATTTGAATATCCACAGGAACGTCGACTTGGCCACCTTCCGTACGGCACCATGTTGGAGAAGGCCGGCAGTGACCTTATGACCACCAAGGGCCCCAACGTCACCAGGTAGGCCGTTTTTGTTTCTACACGCATCCGCGGACTGATTACCCGATCCACAGCTGGTTCAATGACCTCTAGGCACGGGAGTCGTGGGTGACAGTCAAGGATGGGATCTCAAAGATTTCGTACTGAACACGTTCCGGAAGAACGCAGTCTAAATAAGTGTATAAACTGGTTCTTCAACGACATTTTTAAATGTTGATTCGACTCCATTTCTCTTGCTGGTTCTTAGCACTTGTTTTCCGATATATGTGAGAGGAACGGTCTGTTAGGATATCTTTGTAAATTCCAGGTAAATTGCTTTCTTAATATATTGTTTTTAGTATCCATGAATCCATGTGCTGGCCCTCGAGCATGACCCGTCCCAGAATCGAACTGGGGCCTCCAATTGAGGCCGAGTTATTGTGGGTGCGCTGCCGAGTGCGTCAACGGGTCTTTCTGTCATATTAATCGAACCATAATAATTAGTGGAGGGTTCTCAGAGTCGAACTGGGGCATCCCACATAATGGATCTTACTAGAAACCACTCACTTATTGGGGGTGCACTGCCGAGTGCGTCAACAGGTCGTTCTACCATATAAAATTGAACCCGAATATTTCAGCGTCAAAACCCGAACTTCACAAGGGGCAACTACAATTGAAGCTATTGGGTTCTGAACTTGAGCGGTGCAGCCTCGTATGTATGAAGCGAACTCGATGTTCGGCAACATCGCTCAACTCCGCCTGGCCAAGAAATAGTTTCTACCCAAGACAGCGAATCCAATGGCTTCTTACAGTTGCTCACTTCTTTCCCGCACATATTCCTGCCTCGAGGTCCTTGATCATTTCCTTACAAGCGAATTTCGTCATATTGTATGACACGCCAACCGGTTGATTTAGCTCCGATGGGACAATAGCCCACATCTTTTACCCCACGCTTCCGATAAATGTCCCGTCAAACTCTATGGCGCCCCTTTGTGTAGTGATACTCGCCGGGCCGCCACTGTTCTCATTGAAAATAAAATATTAATACCGGTTCATAGGGTTGAACCCAATTCAACCTGAAACAACTAAAACACAGAATACATACGATACATAGTCTGGCCGTGCAGATAACTGCAATGACGCCGATGTCCGAGATTTATACTCAATTCTGCATTGTTGTAGTTACAAAAATATCAAACCGTTTATTCAAGTTCGATTTCGCCGTTCAACCGTTTAACCGGACAGTTATAAATTCTAGCTTCACGAGAATTCAGTTCACAGGCATCCGTAGCGGCTATTAGGCTAATTGTCTAATTTTCCGGTTAAACGGAACTCTGACCGTAAACACGTCTAACCAGCATTCACCTCCCATCCATCCATGGAGCAATCACAGCTGTCCTATTGGTATGATAAACCTGGACCATCATGCATGCATGATTATTCCCCAGTTCAAATAAATTCGTCCCTGCAAGAGCCGACGTTCGCAAACGTATTCCACATCCCGTTTGGTTGCACGCTTGCGGCCACTGCTAGACTATAATGTCAGCTAAGATAGTTCACTGATATTTCGCGACGGCCACATTAATTGGGAACGGAGGATGGACACAGCATTGCTTCCTATTGAATGAATAATAGGCTTGGTAACGACGTGGTTAGTAAGTCAGTGAAAACGCGTAACAATGCTTGCCAATGGCGGTCTTGAGCTATGAGTAATTACATTAAATGAATCTTCGATCAAATGAGGACGTTGAACCCGCTTTACATCAAAGTTCAACTTGCGAGCATTTTTATATAAGTAGCGGTTAATCCGCCTCATCTACATCATCGCTCGACCATCAAACTATTTGGCTCCCCGTACTCCACCTGCACCAAGCGTGTTGCGACTGTCCTGATCGAAAAGAAGGTCGCATTTACTTTCCAAAGTATAAATATTATGGCTGGCGAACACAAGTCCAAGGAGTTTAGAGCACACCAGCCGTTCGGGCAGGTCCCATACATCGTGAGCCGGCCTTTTGCCTATTTAATTCCAGCCACTTTCTGAAGGTACTGAGTAGGATGACGACGGCTTCATTCTGTACGAAAGTCGCGCCATCTGTCGCTACATCGCGGACAAGTATGCCAACCAAGGCCCGAAGCTCGTCCCCACCGACCTCGAGGGAAAAGCGCTCTTTGAACAGGCCGCATCCAATGAATACTCGAACTTCGACCCTTTCAGCTCGAGGGCGGTCAGCGAGGCCGTTTTCAAACCGTAAAGCCTGTCGCTAGTTCCGAGCCTCTGGTCTGAGTCAATTATAGCATGATGGGTATGGAGACCAACAAGGCCAATCTTGAGGAGAACCTCAAGACACTTTCTGCGAAGCTCGACGTGTACGAGGCCATTTTCGGGAAGCAAAGATGCCTTGCTGGAGACGTGCGTACATTCGCTGTCCCATCGCAGCCCGTCGTTTATAATCCATTTGGATATCCACAGGAAGTGACACTCGTCGACTTGTTCCACCTTCCGTACGGCGCCCTGTTGGAGAATGCCGGCAGTGACCTTATGACCACCAAGGGCCCCAACGTCACCAGGTAGGCAGGTTTTGCTCTACACGCATCCGCGGACTGATTACCCGATCCACAGATGGTTCAATGACCTCCAGGCGCGGGATTCGTGGGTGGCAGTCAAGGATGGGATCTCAAAGTCTTCGTACTGAACACGTTCCGGAAGAACGAAGTCTAAATAAGCGTATAAACTGGTTCTTCAACAACAGTTTTAGATGTTGAAGTTCGATTGCATTTCTCTTGTCTGTTATTAGCCGATAAATGTGAGGTTGAATGATCTGTTCCAGATTTGAGAAACGATGTTTTTGTTAACTCCAGGTAACTTGATTTCTTGATATTTCAAGCTTCGGAAGCCCCAAGCTTGCGCAAAGGACACAGTCCAGTTTGAGAAGATCTATAATCAGGAACGGAGTGTCGGTTTAACACAGCTCGTGGTTCAAGTCACAAGGATAGATCCAACAACCAAAATGAGGATTCGATTCTGGTAATGGAACCGCAATATATCAAGTAGCTGAAGGCTTTGAATTTATAATGATATGAGCCGGAACCAAATACACGGTCCTGTCCCAGAGTTGAATTAAGGTCTCCCGCGTAATGATATAATGGTCTCAGGAACCATTTATTGTCGGTGCACTGCCGACCGTGCCAACAGATCTGTATTCGCATGTTTAATTCAAGTTAATGCCCGGTTCACCAGCGAGTCCTTCGGTAAAGAAAAGCAATCAAGATTGGGGCTCCGGATCCATGGCAGAGCTAATTACAATATGTAGCGGAGGGTCTGAACTTGAAATGAGAAGACACGGCCTGGAACAAAAAATGGCCGCAGAAAGCGCAGAATGACCTCAAACTGGGGCCTCCCACATAATTCTTTGCGCATGCCGAACATTTAGATATCGTGGGTGCGCTGCCAGTGCGCCAACGAGTCTTTCTGGCTTGTTAGTTGAACCAGAATATATACACCAGTCCCGGAAGGCTCTGAATATAAACGGGAAAAAAATGGAGGCTTTGAAACAAAGAATGTCAACCTGTCCCAGAGTCGGGGCCTCCCACACAACATCATATAGACCTAAGTTATTGTGGGTGCGCTGCCGAGTCGGCTAACAGGTCTTTCTGCTATATCAATTACATTTGAATACAGCTTTGAACAAACTGAAATGACTCTGACCGAAACTTTGGAAAAAGTGGACGAATGACCCGTCCCAGAGTCAAACTGGGGCCTCTCACATACTGTCTTCGGAGACTAACTTGCAGAGTTATTGTGGGTGCGCTGCCGAGTGCGCCAACAGGTCGTTCTACCATACCTAGTGGAGAGTTCTGAGTAAAATGTAACGACGAGGGACAAAAATGTGCAAGCGACCCATAGATGACCCATCCCAGAGTCGAACTGGGGCGTCCCGCATAAGCTCGCTCTGATTTATTCACCCGGGCGGGCTACCTTAGCACATTACAGTTATTGTACGGTACTGGCTGCTCAAAAGCTTACTCTGCTATTCACGAATTAGGAAGGTCTTTTTTCCTGACCGTTTATTTGCTGGGGGGGAAAATAAAAAGTAAAGAAAATAAAAATGGATATGACCTGTACCAGAATTGAACTGGAGACTCTCGCTAAAACTCATTTAGCCTGGGCATATGTCAGCGGGTGCACGACCAACTGTGCCAACAGGTCGTTGTTAACAGCACGGAACCGAAGAAGCTCCCTGCAAATAGTGCTGCGCAAAGCGTGGACTCTCTTCCCCATGGTTCACTGGCATCAACGCTGCACGGGAAAAGCCAGCCCGGCTACTGACCTGAAATGCCGCATATTCTGATTCAATCAATAATTCCGGCCCTTCAGCAGCTTCAACAACACTGGAAACTGTGCTCTTCAAAGGTCAAGGCGCGATGATTTTGGTTCATTGTTGTAAAATGAACGTGATTTTGCTTCTTCATTTTTCAATAGTTGGAGTTTGCTTACACTGATTGCCATTCGTGGAGGACACATTCAGAAATTTAATGATGTGAACAGGTGTGAGTTGAAATACCCGCAGGTCATCACGGCCGGAAATTCCCAGACTGCCGCTTGAAATTGTAGCTGTGGGGCTCCAGAGCACGCTGTTGAGATTTAGTGGACCACAGCGCGGGGTTTGCAGGACGCAGTCCGCACACGCGGGACAACGTCAAAAGCCGAACGTTCGGCAGGCGATCAAACTCGGCTTCAAACTCGCATAGGGGCCGAGTCGGGAATGGCCGTCCTGAATGCGCGCGCGAATGTCTCTGAGTGAAGTGAGAATATGTGAGCGAGGATTTCGGGAGGAAGGTGACGTATGGGCGCATAGATTGTGTCCGTCACAGAGCTGCCAGATGGGTACTAGTACTAGGAGAGAAAGGGCAGCTCTGTTCATTTCAAATTTGAATGTTTCACCATCGAGAAACATGGGTCAAAATATGGGTCGCAGTTCGGTCGCAAATGAGAAAGGATGAGCCCGCCACTCGAGCGCAGCGCGGGCCCTTCCCTTTATTGAAGTTATGGTGGTCGACATTTCGGGTGATTAGCTGGGTCACATGTGTATACGAGAGTCACACCGAAGTGAATATTAGCAAGTAAGGAACATCGTAGTAATGAGTAAGACCCTCGACGTGCTCCGCCCACCTCCACGTCGACGAGACGTACCCGCTCCCCGTACGCACGACGACCCCGCAGGCTCGAAGCCTCACGACATCGCAACCACTCTGTATGCATGCACGCACGATGCGGCGGACGCCGGGATCTGGATCCTGCGTGCGGCGTCGTCGGCGTGCTGCAGGGTCTCGTAGGTGTGCGTGTGCACGGTGTCGGTGTGGGTATCCTGCGCGCCGTGCGGTGGCGTAGCCGTGCACCGCACGCACCCCACCCAAGCAGTGCAGCCCAGCGCATATCCCGCCCCTCCAATGGGAGCTGCGCCTCACTCGCCGCACCCCAAGCGCCCGCCCAGCAGCTGCCCCCACCCGCACAGAGCCCCACTCACGCGCAGCCACTACCCATCCGCCCCGCTCGCGGCTGCCCCCCAACCGCACGAGCAGCCTGGGCGGGCTCGCGAGTACGAGTACAGTGAACTTGCACGACTGCGCCACGGATGGTCCGACGACCACACGATCTTGAAGCGCATGCGCCCGAGCGCACTTGCAGGCCCACGCGAACGCACCCCCCGCATCTGCACCCGCAGACGCACCCGCGACACCGGTGCGCAGCACAAAGAAGGCGCGCGCGGGGCGAGGACGCGTATTGCATTGGCGAGCGCAAGGCGGCGACCGCGAGATTCCCCAGCGCGGCTCACAGCCGCGATAAAAGCCACACCAGCGACCGCACGGGTGGATCGTCAAGCTCTGACCTGCGAGACCGGCGGAACAGAAGAAAGAGGCGCGCGCGAGGTGACGGCGTGTATCCCCAAGCACACGCCACAGACTGCGCGCATTTCAAGCGCGCGCAACGCACGTCTCCAGCCCGCAGCCGCGCCCACGCCTGCGCCTGTGCCTGCGCCTGCGCCTGCGCCTGCGCCCGCGCGACGGTGCAAGCCCACACCTGCTGTCCCGGCGCGCAGCACAAGAAAGAGGCGCGCAAGGCGTCGGCGGACACGAAAGACGCGCAGGGCAACGGCACGCATCGACATGCCCACACTATCTGCCAGCCTGCAGCCGTACCTGCGACCGCGCGCGCGTATGGTCAAGCCCACACCCGCGAGACCAGCTAGCGGTAAAATCCCGACGCTCAGGCCAGCGTGCGCCAGGTCGGCATGCAGAAGAAAGAGGTGCGTGCGGTGCGACAAGGCGCATCGAGCTCGCATCACGTATGGTCGTGCCCGCGCGCGCGCGATACCGGCGCGCAGCAAAGAAAGACGCGCGAGGCACGCCAGCGCAGCTTTGAGGAGCAAACGACGCGTCTGTGGACGAAAGCAGGCGCTACGCTGCCGTCCCATGCGAGAGAAAGAAGGCGCGCGCGGGGGGGGGGGGGGGGGGGGGGGGGTGGTGAGCACGCGCCGGCGAGCGCACGAATCACCCAGTCCCGCATCCGTGATACTGGCACCCCGCATCCGCGATACCGTCACGCAGCAAAGAAAGACGCGCGAGGCACGCCAGCATAGCCGCAGGGAGTAACAACGCGCACGGCGCTCGTCGGTGGGCGAGGTGCGAGCCCAGCGGAGCGATGTCAGTGGGGCGAAATCCACGCAATACGCACACGCAGCCGCAGGGAGTAGCAGCTCGTCGGTGGGCGAAGGGACGTGCGAGTCGAGCGCAGCTGGGATGAGGCCGTCCTACAGGAGAGGAAGGAGACGCGAGAGGTCCGGGGCGCGTTGGTGAGCTCCGAGCAAAGTGTGTCGCAGAATCCGCGCCAGCTCGGTCGTAGGGAGAAAAACAACGAAGCGGGCGGTGATGAATCGCGCAGTGCGCGCGCATCTACAAGTGCGCATCCACGGTACCGGCGGGTAGCAAAAAACGCGCGCGGGGCGGCGCGTAGGTCCGTCGAAGGCGGCGGGCGCGCGCGGCGCAGAACCTGTCGGCGACCGCACTCATGCCGTCAAGCCCACACCAGCGATACGGGCGGGCAGTAAGTCCACGCCACCGACGTCAGCGTGTACAAAGCCCGCACCCGCGACGCTGGCGAGCAGTTGAGGAAAGACACGTCGCGCTCGAGTCAAAGCGTGTCGGTGCGTTGGTGGGCGAGGGCTCAGAGCGTGTCGGTCCGGGATGATACCGGTGCGCGCGAAGGTAGGCATTCAGGCGTCGGTGTTCCTCCGGAGCGCGAGCGCGCGCTCGTCATCGACTGGCGCACCGCTCGTCGATACATGTGGACCACAGAAACATGAAAAGACGGCTGGAAAAAGAGAGAGAGGTGCTGTTAGCGTTGGTTCTGCGAGCGGAGGTGACGGCGGGGCGGATGGAATGGGGGAGAACGACTAGGTGAAGGAAAGGAAGTGGACGCGTACGGGAGATGCGGGGAAGGACGTACCTAATGTCGAGGACACGGATGCTGGGCCGCTGCGGCCTGCGCATTGCCTGCAGTCGTACCACGATACCGCAACACGAGAAGCTGTAGAAACGAAGGGCGTCAACACCCGACTCGGATATGAAGAAAGGCGCGCCGAACCAGACAAAAGGTGGCGAGACGATCTGCGTTGTAGTGTATCGAGTATATCCGCAATCGCGGTGGTACTGGGCCAATGCGTCGCGTGCGGCACTATGAGGCGGAGAGGGTAGTCTCCGATGTTGTACGGTCGTCCCCAGCGGCGGATGTATACGGATTGTGGTTCGGAGTGCGTAGATGCAGATGGCGAAGTGGTGGGCGAACGATACAGCGCCTGTGCCTGCGCGTCGCCGAAGGGTTACTGTTCTACAAGGTGTCGACTAGTGTGAGCTAGAGAAGCTGCTGCGAAACTACTGATTAGTGTCGAGAAAGATTGTGGGACTCAAATAAAAGGGAAAAAGAAAGAGCCCCTCACAGTTTAATGCCTTTAGTTCCACCAAATAAGGGAAGAAAATCCACGGGTTGAATACCCCGTTGCAGCACATAAGGCCATCGCCGGACTCGGAGAAACAGGAGTATATTTGGGGGCGACGTTAGACAGAGCGCAGAGATCAAGGCAGGCGTTTGACACAATGTCGGAAGTAAGGCCGACACCGACACCTTCCTTTTTGGGATGACACGGCTATCAAGATCAAGTGGTGCGCATCAATGGACCGCAAGTTCCGTCGCCCATTTGGGATCCATTGTTCATTGTTCGTCTCGTCGCTCAAATTTAAACAAGTACCATCACCGCCCGTACACAATGCTGGGCCACCGTAGTTTACGATCCAATTTGGGACAGCATCTTGCATCAATACATCAGCGGCACATTTTGCCGTTGATTGCCGCCGCTTCCGAATTAGGAAGGTGTAGGTGCTGGCCCAAATTCCGGCTCTGCCAAGGCCCAAGGCTCTGCGTCGCCGAAAAATTTTGGGAAGTGTGGGGGAGAGAGCATGTATGGTCGTTGTGGGCATCGGCGTCGCTATATCGTGCATACTGCCCAGTGCCACATAGGCGGAGCAGCATTAACCGCATGGGCTCTGCGGGCCTGTGGTGTTGCGCCGCTTTGGCGCCGCTGGCACGGGTTGTGGAAGACTAGGCGCCACATCTCGGTCCGCGCATCCACGGCCTGGTCCACCAGAACGGCGCAACGGAGGGACTGGCGCAGAGTTAGGTCAATCGATCGGAGTTAGGGCTATATTCGGACAGATCGATCACACTCTTATGAACTCAGAGTCATGGTCTCTGCTCGTACACTGGATGCGACTTTACACAATTGCAAAAATGGGCCACACAGGGTGCGTGAATATGAGATGCCCCTGCAAGTTCAAGAATTCGTCTAGACACCACGAAATGCGATCAAAGTATTAAAGGTGTACCTATAATGATTGATAACAATAAGGAACTGGCTCCGAGATCTTGGTCAGCATGTAGTATTACGGCTGGCACTGCGTCGCTTTCCGCCTCTTTGTCACTACTACCATCTACGCCCACACCCTCAGTGTTCTACATCCTCTCGACAGACTACAATGAACATCCTCGACAACATTCTACCCATGCTCAGGGTTGCTCAAGCAGCCGCTGCAGGCAATCCTGTTCCAGGACTCGAGGGTGTAATCACCGGTGTTATCGCACTAGCCGAAATGGTT